TTACACACACAACTATATTAAATTTAATGCAGGGGACTTGTGTGATGTTTTGAAATTTGAAGTATTTTTAATTTGAAACTTAAACAGAGAACAGAACATTCTCGCCTGTTCTCACTGACCGACAACTGAGGAAGCAGAATGCACGAATTAGACCTGTGTGAATGCCCCCGAAAAACTCGCTTCATTAATTACATTAGCTGCACCAATATTAATGTCTAGTAATGAATATGGTTTTGGTTAATCTTTTATTAATAGAATTTCATTAAAACCATCTTTTGTTTTATCATTTCCCTCTTTAGATCAGACTTCTCAGCTTGTTCCCCGTACCATTGAGGCTGAAATCCTCAGCGTTGCAGAGGAACCAGGTCATGCTGAAGTCGATGACGAGTGGAGTGAAGACGCCTTCCAGGACTTAGTGGGAGATTCGTCAGAATGGTCTGCCGACGTCCTCAACGCTTTGAGCTCTGTCTCGATTCTTGACGTCCTCCAACCTACAGCCTGTGCCACATCTGATAGAGTTCCAGTCCTAGATGTGGCCACCTATAGAGCCAACGTCCGTCGAGTTCCAGCCCGACATGTGGCAGACTCCAGTGTGGACGTCCCCCAGGTCCCAGTCAGCACCACATCAGCTCCAGGATTGGAAACGGCTGACTGTTGTGTTGATGTTCCAGTCTGTGCCACGTCAGACTGGGAAGATGATGGCCCCCCAGTTCCAGACTGTGCCACATCAGACTGGGAAGATGATGGCCCCCCAGTTCCAGACTGTGCCACATCAGACTGGGAAGATGATGGCCCCCCAGTTCCAGACTGTGCCACATCAGACTGGGAAGATGATGGCTCCCCAGTTCCAGACTGTGCCACGTCAGTCTGGGAAGATGATGGCCCCCATGTCGCACCGACAGTAGACACTGTCTCTGAGAATGAGATTATTTGTAAGTTGACTGTCATGACTCCGACACAACACAATACAGACAAACTTGTGTTGTGATATCTGTCTTTACTCATGTCAACTCAGGCAAAAAGCAGTTTTCATGTCAACTCTTCTATGTTTCTTTTAACAGACGTCGGTTGCTGGAGCTATAAAGTCGGCAGGAAGCTCGGGGAAGGAGGATTTGGAAGCGTTTACGCCGGGACTCGCTTGAAGGATGGCCTCAAGGTATCATTTAATTTACTTGCATTATCTATCAAAGTGTTCCTGCACGATCGTATATTCGAATAACTCTTCTTTTCAAGCATTCTCAGTGTATCTTATGTTCACTTCTTAGAGCACCTGACCTCTCAGACCTGTTTAAATTGTTAGACTTGCTCTACATGATTAGAATTTAAATTGATGAAACTGAACAGGTCTGTTCAAGGTTGATGACTGAAATATGAACTGCACACACATTGGAAATAATTCTAACTCAAATCCATTTTTTGTTTTGTTGATTAGGTGGCGCTGAAATTCGCTGATACCGAGGGTATTGAGTGGATCAACATTGTAAGTACTCTGTTTCTCTCAGTTCATTTTTCAATGGACAAACTGCTATTGTCTGTAGTTTAGTACTGTTCTACATCTTTTCTCCATGTACAGTATAAGATCATAAGAATTGTCTTTTTTCTAGGAGGATAATCCTGAACCCGTTCCTCTGGAGATCGGTCTGCAAATTCTCGCCAACAAAGGCCCCAGGGTTCCCCAGATCATCCAGCTTCTGGACTGGGACGAAGAGCCAAATCGTTACATCATGGTTCTAGAGTTCCCTACACCCTGTGAGAGCCTGATCGAATATCTGGACCGGCACGACTACTACATCGACGAGAACGTGGCAAAGGTCATCATGCATCAGGCAGCAGTCGCAGCTCAAACATGCTGCCAACGTGGAGTGTTGCATCGCGACATAAAACTGGAAAACCTCCTGATCAGCCCGGAGACGCTGGATGTCAAGTTGATTGACTTTGGATGCGGAGAAATCCTGACCGATGCGGGATACACGTCCTTTGCTGGTTTGTATTATTCCTCAGAGCTGTAATGTGGGTCTCAAACTTAGATGACGGGCCAGAAGCCGTCAAGGTCTTACAAAGTATCATGTAATGGGATCCACCATTGTGAATCAATAGCATCAAATCATTTCTTGCATGCTAATAAATACTTTTTTCTCTTTTTTGCAGGCACCGAAGAGTACTGCCCCCCTGAATATGAATCATACGGCTTTTATCACGGCAAACCAGCGACAGTGTGGTCACTCGGGGTCCTGATGTTTACACTGGTGTGTGGAGAATTTCCATCTTCAGAAGACTTGGATATGCTAAATGACAACATCTGGACAGAGATGGCATATCACAAGGTTAGATCTACATTTCAGCAAAGATCACTTGCAATTCTAAATCATACAAAGTAGAACAAATTAATATAAATGGTTGTGTGGGTAATGCAGTAATATTTAGATATTTCAGCTTAGACTCTTAATCAAAGAGAGCGAGTGTGAAGTTTAAGGTAATAATAGGACTTCTCTTCTCTTTCTTCACAGAATGCTGCAAATTACTTTGCTCTCTCCTGCAAAGGAACCCAGCGAAGCGGCTTGATTTGGATGTTGTCTGTCTCCACAAGTGGTTTAAGTACTTCGAATATAGATTTTATGAAGAAAGATCTGAAGACCTTCTACAGAAAGACTTGCCACCCGCTGTTCAGGATTTTTTAAAACTCTTTATAAATAAACCATAGATTTGACTTTTAAACAACTACATTGTCCACAGAAAATCTATTAAAACTTAATTTCGTGTCAAAATATTGTGATCAAAAAATTTCACAAACTTTCTCCATTAAACGTTACTATTAATAATTGCCTCATGACCAAATACAACCAGAAACAATTGTTCAGTCTTTTTTGTGAAAGTTAATTCCTCGCGACCTGTTTTCAATTGGCTGAGCAGCGCACGAAACAGGCATTTTCTCAATTCTCAAGTTGCCCTCTGCATTATGGCGGCGCCTTACGCATTATTACGGCGTACGACATGTATGACGTCATTGACATTATTTAAAGCAAAAAGTGACTCTAAAAAAATATAACACCAAGCGATGTGTAATTGCTTTGCATCTCCTTTCGAATACAAGTTTCAAATTACTAGACAAAAAATGATATCCTGAGAAAAGTGTATTTTAAGGGGTATAATTCACTAGACCTCCATTTTCTTTATGTGATCGCCCTCATATGTAAACAGACTGGAACTGCAACCAGTTCTCCCCATACTAGTGTTGTCAAAAATATCGATATTTTTCAAGGTATCGTATCAAAGTTAGAAATTCTAGTATTGTGACAACACTACCCCATATTAGACATTCTCTGGTTCGATCTTCAACTCCACAGAGATTGTAATTCACTTGTAATTCTGTATCATAAAAAAAACAGAACATACAAACAGTGCACATCGTCTCCTTCCACAGACTGACAGACTCGTGACGAGGCATCGGGACCCAGGTTGAGACATCCTTTCCAGTGATGTATTAGCAAGATGAACCGCTGCAACCTAAGAGTCCGCCGGGTCAATTGAGAGGAGGTTTGGGGACTATTGAAGGCTATTGGTCGCTGTAGATATCAAACTGCCTCCCATCAAGGTAATTCCTCTATTTTTCCACCACCCAGACCACAGCCAGACACTCTTTTCCTGATGTGGAGTAATTTAGTTCTGCTCCTCGTAATGCCCTTGAAGCATATGCTATTGCTCTTTCCCCCTCAGGTGTTTTCTGGGTGAGAATAGCTCTCAGTCCCACATCACTGGCATCAGTATTCACCTGAAGAGTTTGGTTGAGGTCAGGCTGCATCAATACAGGTGGGTCTTGCTACAGAATTTGCCAGGACCTTCTCCATAAGCCTCTGGAAGGGAATGCAGCATTTCTGAGCCGGCATGGAACGGGATTGGAATAGCCCCTGGTTGGTGATAAATGCGGTGTTTTCTCTTTACTCTCTTCCTCCAGATCCACCTGCCAGTATCCTGACTGCAAATCCAATGTGCTGAACCAGGTGGCGCCATCCATGGATTCCAGGATGTCATGAATAAGCGGCATTGGATAAGCTTCAGGTATGGTGTTTCTGTTAAGTCTCCTATAGGCCACACAGAACCTGGGGACGAGGACTACGGGTGATGACCATGGAGAGAAGGATGGCTCAATGATGCGGTCACTTGCTGGCTCAATAATAACTGGAAACCATCAGATCTCCTTTGAGGCGTGTCATGATCTGTTGAAGAACGAAAACTAAATCATCATGATTGTCTTTCACGATAATGAAGTATTTTTTTAGTGAGACCTGACACATTTAAAGGGATAATTCACCCAAAAGTTAAAATTCACAACTACCACTTTGACACTTTAAAAAGTTCATAAAGAGATTGATGAGCGGTTTAGTCCAAAACTTTTCTGAAGAGACTGAATCGCTTTATTTTATGGTGAACAGATTGAATTTAGGCTTTTATTCTGAAGATCTTTTATTTGGACCGTCATGAGGGCGAGTGATTTAGGACAGATTTTTGGGTGAACTATCCCTTTAAAACGTGTCACCTGAGAAGCGCTAATGAAATGTCACCGCTATGGTCCTTGATTTTGGCCCTACAAAACTACTTCGTCCAAAACTGAAATTGAATCTCTACCACTTTACTACTTGTTACAGCACAATATAGACATCATGTAATCGCTCAGTCAGTTTCTACAGTGGAAAAACGTCAATACAAAACAGCTTGGAAACAATTTAACGAAACATTAGTGATCTTAGGAAAATCATTAAATGTCCACAAACTCAAGAAAAAAACTGCGATTAAAGCTGTATCGGTGTTTATAGACGTAAACCATTGTCGGTAACGATATAAAAGTGTTCGATATAGCGTTCAATATTTTCATTAAAATGTGCACGCTTCGCCCGTAGATCTTGGTTCATTTGAATTCACCACAAAAGTATTTCTCCGTTATTAACCGTAGATCTCTGTTAGATCAAACAGCGCTGGCGTGGAAAGCAGTGAATATTTAGGTATAGGTTTTAAGTCCACAGATCAGCAACATTCACCATGGATTTAATGTAGTAACACTAACTGTAACCATTAAAAGTTTGGCAGAAATAGTAAAATGCTTTCAAGTACATGTAACATCTTTTTCCAGCACTTCAAAACTCAAATATTATCATAATTAAATGTTATTTTTAATGTGATGACCAAATCATAATTTGTTAATCCTTCAAAGGTTACCCCCATTCATTAAACTAAAAATTTCAATACTCTCACTTATTTAAAATTAATTTTTCTTTTAATAAATTATAATTTTTTAAATCAAGAAAAAGTCTCTAGCATTTCTTTCTTTTTCCTGTATCGAAAACGTACGAACCGTGACACCACTGTGTCCTATCAAACCAAACTGTGAATTTTGTGAACTTACACCCCTACTTATTACAGTTGCTGATCTACCTCAAAGTTTGCCATTATTCTACGTTTACACTTTTTTTATTGCACACATTTTGTAACATTTTAAGTTCAAGAGTTTGTTTAACACACACTTTTTAACACATAAAGAACTTTTCTACTTCTCTTTAACAAAAAGAAAGAAATGAAACATTATAACATATATGCTCCATTTCATATTTATTATATTTTTTACTTGAACTGTTGTCTTTATAATTTAATGTATGTTTTAATAAATCTGCCAATAAAACATGTTATTACAGCCGTGTCTAAATGTTTACATTTCAACAATGAATTAGAGTAGAACGTATAGAACTGCCTTATGTGCAGTTTAAATGTTTAAATTAATTCTGCAATTCCATTTGCACTTGATTGTTGATTATTAAATAAATGTTATTGATTATTAAACTATTGTTGTTGTAGATTTTTGGCCAATGAAAACTTTCATTTAGGTGTTTCTGTAAAAAAAAAAAAAAAAAAAAATAGGGATGTCCCGATCCGATCAAGACAAGTGATCGGAAATCGGGTCCGATCATGTGGTTTCAAGTAATATATCATGTGAGGCATAAAACAAATATATGGCCTATAGGCTATGTTGTAATAATATGTAAATAATAATGATGTTAGATGTTAGACCAGAGGTCAAAATCCCGGTTTTGTGAGTCCTGTCCCAGGAAATGTCCGCATTTTACAGCGCCTTCAAACAAAACCAAAAAATACAGTGCAGAAAGCCCGACTTATATCAGACTGCTGGTTGTCAGAACAGTCCTGTAGTTATGATCCTTTTTCACCAACAGAGGGGATGCGCGAGTTACAGTGATACTTGGTTGAGCTCCTTTACTTTAACATGAAGACATAGTAAAACATTCATAACTAGCTAAAACAGACATACAAAAACATAACACAGCTAAAGGATTCAGTTTACAATACAGGAATATATATATATATATATATATATACACATAATTTTGTTGTAAAGAGAATATTACTTAATAATTTTACTTTTATGAATATGAAATGTACCTAATAAAATGACAAGACTTCATAAAATTAACAGATGCATTTTTTAAAAAAAAATTTATAATAACATCTTTGGTAAAATCATCAAGAAGTAATAATCTTCAGACATTTTTTTGGAATGGTAAAATTAAAAAAAGATTTTTTCTGGCTGATCTGAACAAAATGAGCTATTTTAATCAAATCCATACATGTTGATAAAGTATAGCTAATTACTAACACAAATATTATGAAGAACTTTTCACTGTTAATGTCCACCCCATTTAGGCTAAATGAATACGGTCAATAATTTTATCCCTTAAAACTCATCTTTGATCACCAAAATGACATATTTAAATGTTGTTCTCCTGTGGAATAAAATTAGTCATGCCTTAAAGCTCGAATGTAACTATCCTTGTTTCATTAAGTAGCTCATGAATATTCCAATGAGCCCCGCCTCCACTCAATCATCCTCTACTAATCGATGTATCGCATATAACACAATATATTATATATATATATATATATGAAGAGTTCAGATGCAAAAGCCTCTAAGTGCCATTTGAAATTTTCTTCTAAAATGATCATTTTTATCAAGCTTATATATTTAAGTTCAGTAATTTCACTTAAATGACAATGAAGATTACCTATTAATTGTCATTTAAGTGAAATTACTGAACTTAAATATACAAGCTTGATAAAAATGGTCATTTTAGAAGAAAATTTCAAATGGCATTTAGAGGCTTTTGCATCTGAACTCTTCATATATATATATATATATATATATAGCTGCAAGCAGCAATTACCGGGGCCAAGCACAATTAGACAACAAAACATACCAACATGTGTCAGACCAACTGCAGCAAGGAGTAATTGAAGACATTTAAAGATGAATTTAGGCAAAATGGCTGAAAAATGACATACAATTAACTAAAAATGTAAGTAAATGGATTATCACATGGATTAGTTACAAAATTGATGTGATGTGGTAAGAGTTTGGTGACGATGAAAAAACCTTCAGACCAGTCGCATTAAAATACGCAGATTTATTCAAAAGTTATAAGCATTATTCGAAATTTTGGTAAAACTTTGACCAAAAGGTGGCGCTGTCTTGAAATCTTTTGAGTTCCTTCAGGGGATGGTGCTGCTGATGGCACAAACTGAGTTTCGTAATGTTACACCAATGCATTCGTTAAGTATAGCATGTTATGTTCTGTTATAGCGCCACCAAGAGGCTCAGTCACACAATTTTTGTTACGTG